ATAATGTATATATTTTTATCCTTTGTTTTGGTTGTATTTATTTTTGTTGGTAGCTTTGTGTGTGTGGATGGAATGGGTTGCTCAAATTTCATTTTCCTGACAACAAATTGTGATGCTCATTTCCTCCCACGATATGTAAGGATAGAGAAAGAGGGAGAGAGGACGTGAGAGGTAAGGAGAGAGAGATCGAGGGATGGAGGGAGAGAGGGTGTGAGATAGAAATGTTCATTTTTCCTACCAAAATTGAGTCGTAGGAACCTGCCTAAACGTGGTGGGGATGAGGAAAGTTTTTTTTTTTCCAGGGAACAAAGACTTAGTTCCTCATTTGTCCACCCGTCTTACTTTATATATACACACACGTACACAGTTAAAAATTCTTATTATTCTCTCCCTATATATACATACACAATATACGGAAAATGTCGTATTCTTCTCTATCCATCCAACACATAGAGGATTGGACTGTGTAAATAAAAACTTGTCATTGAAAATTAAGCAATTAAGTAAAATTTTCTTAGAAAAGAATATTTAATTAAAAAATTATTTTAAAAGTAAAAGAATAAATGTAGAAAAAATCTTTGCGGAGAGTCTGGTCCCGTAAATTCTCTGTGGAGAATCTCCACTCCGATCCCTGTAAAAAATTTTACGTGAATGATGAATGAAGTGGGGATGAAGACGAAAACAGAGACGGAAGAAGCCTTCTCCATCCTCACCCTGCCCCATGAACATCTCTAGCTAGTGTGAGATGCAAGGGAAGAGAGAGATGGAAGGATGGATAGAGAGATGTGAGGAGATTAAGAATAGTGGGGGAATGGGGACCAATCTTTTGTTTTGGTAAGGTTAAAAGCATGGCCACTTTTTACTTTTTTTTCTTTCTTTTTTTATGAATAAAGAAAATAAAGAAAAGAGAGAGAGGAGTTGAATATGTTTGGTGATTGCCTTTGGCTATATGCCTGAAACCTCTCTCCCACCTTCTCTTCTACTCTTTCTCCATCCCATTTGCCTTTTCCCTTTCCAAACTCACGACCTTTTGGTCCACCATTTTAGTTGAGTTAGGTTCAGGTTTAATTCTTTTTCCTTTTACTTTTGCCCTTATATACATAAAATGAAAATTTTCCTAATAAATTACAAACACACATTGCATTATATATGACTTCACACAAGGGGTGTGGAAAAAAGAGAAAATTTAAATACCATTCTCTTTCTATTAATATATTACCTACTAAAATTTGTTGACGTGACAGAAAATGAATGAAAATTAACTGTAATATTGAAAATTTTCTCGGACTAAGGTTAAAAAAGGAAGGGAAAGCCACCCTTATTAATTCCCAATATTGTGTCCCACTTCTCTCTTTGATCAAGTTTTAAGGACTCTAGTGTTGGTTGGCATAGACCACTCCTTTAAGAACTCACTTCTTCAAACTCATACCCCACCAAACCAAAATTAATCTCTCTACAACCCTCTCTTTCTCATAGTCACCATCACATTATCGTACAAAAGTTTAAGTTATATATTATGGAATAGTTTCGTACTCTCATCTCATTCGATTATTCTTATCATTATCTTTCATAGATTTCACGTCGCTTTTAAATACTAGTGATAAGGATAAATTTTAAGAATAATATAGGGTTGGGTAAATTTAATACAGGACCTCCCACGATACCATATTAAGGATGAATAAACCCCCACTCACTCCAAAAGTCTAAGCTAATGTGTTAGAAATTTAATTCATATATTGGATATCTAACAGTTAATAGGATATCAGAGCTCAAAAGTTCAAACGAGTATCTTCGATCTAAAAATGAGATCCGGTCAAGATCGATGAGCAAAAAAACCACGATTTTGAGGGGACATGTATTAAGGATTCCACGTTGATAAAAGAATGGACAAGGTTTATAATAGACATGTGCTACCCCTCTCATAGCCAATTGGTTTTGAGATGAAACCTATGAATATTAATATTAGCTACTATAATTATCGCTTTTTTCTTTATTCCTCTCTTCTATTTATAAAAACATTTATGGTCTACGATCAATAACGTAACTAAGTATTATTCAAAATTAATAAAAATAGTTTAGAAAAATATATTTTCTGATAGGTCATCATTTTGGGTGGAGATAGGAATGAGGGATAAAAATTAATCCATCCCCTTAGAACTTTCATATAATTTTTTTTAATACAAACGTTTGAAACAGACCTTTTGATCGAAGAGATAGTATAATAATATTATTATTCACTATGTTCAACTATATTAAAAGAAACCATAAGTTATAATTTTGCTTAATTATAAAATTCTTAAAAGATAGTAGCTTTTTTTTTTCTTTTTTCTTTTTGAAGGCGCATCTTCCGAGAAGACTTTAAGATTTTTGGGATCAGAGAATAAAATAATAAGGTAATGGTCCACAGTTAATGGTGAAATTCCTTTGAAAAATAAAATTATCATGGATGGCTCGTTGGTCCAAAGAGGTTAAGATAAATAAAAGAAAATATTTAGAGAAAATGAGTTTAAACCTCGTGATAATCATGCTCAATGAATATTAAAATAAATAAATAATGATAATTATTATAATAATGATGGTGAAATTATAGTTGTGTTGTGGCATGGCTAGACAAGCAAATCAAACAAAGGTTTTTTTTCTTTTCTTTTTTT